AAGACCATTTACTATCTATTGTGCCCAATTTAAAATACCTCAAAGGTCTTAAACTAGCCCACCCAGTCTCTTCTGATGAAAGGTTTGAGATCTCCCTTCTCATTGGTGTCGACTACTATTGGCAAATCGTGCAAGATGAGACTGTGAGAGGTGATGGACCAGTAGCAGTAAAATGGAAGTTGGGATATATACTCTCGGGTCCAATTAATTCAAACACACCATCCATGCTCTCAATTCGAATCCTGAATGTGATGATTCGCCACAATGAAGAAGAGTTTGACCTTCAACGGTTCTGGACAGTCGAGTCACTAGGAATTGCACCCCCTACCCTCAACGATGAGCATGCAAACTAGGCACAAGAGTATCAAAGTGCATGTATAACACGTGACAAGGACGGTGCTTGCACTGCTGCGTTTCCCTGGAAGAAAGACCATCTTCCCCTTCCCTCAAATTACAAGGTATGTGAACGTCGAACAAGATCGTTGGCACGTCGCCTAGCCCAAACACCTGATCTCCTCAACACCTATGGAGAGATAATCGCAGATCAACAGAAACGCGGGTTCATCGAGCAAGTTCAACCGCAAAAAAATGGTCGAAACCTGCATTATATACCACACCACCCTGTCCTCAAGGACTCCTCCACAACACCAGTAAGAATTGTCTACGATTGTAGCTGCCGACAGTCGACCAACGCCCCAAGCCTGAACGATTGCCTGCAGACTGGACTTCCAGTATTGACTGATATGTATTCCATTCTTCTACGTTTTCTGACACACCCTTATGCCCTTTCTACTGATATAGAGAAAGCCTTTCTTCACGTACGCCTCAACGAACTGGATCGAGATTTTACTCGTTTGTTCTGGTTATCCAATCTCAGTAATCCTAAAAGTTCATTCATCACATACCGCTTCAAAGTTGTCCTATTTGGTTCTGTCAGTTCCCCATTCATGCTTAATGCCACCTTTCACTACCATCTAGACAACAACAACACCACTGTTACCCAAGATAAGAAGGAGAATCTTTATGTTGATAACCTGATCTCTGGATGTAATACTGAAGCTGAGGCTATCAATTACTACAATGTGGCAAGATCTATCATGAGTCAAGGAAACTTTAACTTACGTTCTTGGTCGAGCAACAGTCCATTGCTCCAAGCACGCGCAGCAGATGACTTTAGCGACGAGAAATCAGAGAGTGTCAACATTCTTGGTCTTCAATGGAAACCCACGACTGACAAGCTTACCTTAGTAGAGAACAGTGGTAGTTTCAACCCAAACGCACCAACAACGAAACGCAAGATCCTGCAACTATCCTTCAAGGTTTATGATCCGCTTGGCCTCCTATCACCTGTGACAGTGAGAGTCCGAATTCTATTGCAAGATCTGTGGCGTAGAAAACTCCCCTAGGACACACCTGTTGATGAAGGCCTCCAGCGAACATGGTCAAGCATCGCTGAAGATATCGAAGAGTCTGTCAAGGAGTGTGCAACCCTGCCAAGACAATACTTTTCCGATTCAGTGAAACAAGAAGGCAACATCCATTTACACGTGTTCTGCGATGCCAGCACAGTTGCATATGGTGCAGTAGCATTCCTGCAACGAGAAAACCACACCTCGTTTGTTATGGCAAAAACTCGTGTTGCCCCTCTCAAGACACGAACACTCCCTCAAATGGAACTCATGGCTGCTTTAATCGGTGCAAGATTGACTCACTTCATTCAAAACACCCTGCAGAAAAGATTCCCCAACTTGAGCATTCATTTGTGGTCCGACAGTCAAATTGTTCTTCATTGGTTATCCAGTAAGAAGTCAGTACCACAATTCGTAGCGAATCGTGTGAAAGAGATCAAGCTACTTTATCCTGCCTCTTCCTGGCACTACTGTCCCACATCAGACAACCCAGCCGATCTGCTAACCCGAGGAATCACTTCAAATCAACTTCGATCCTCAACGATCTGGTTGCATGGCCCACCCTGGCTAACAGCCGAAAGTCAGTGGCCATCGTGGACCGCTAAAGAATCAACCTTGATGTCAACGCAGACACTTGTAACCATCACTCTTCCAAATACCGATGCTGGGCGTATCCCACCAAGCTACCAACCTGGTCTACATCATATCATCGACGTATCAAGAGAGACCAAGTTATCCAAGCTCATCCGTTGCACTGCCTATATCCTACGGTTTGTCAACATCTACACCAAACGAAATCCGCTCCAATCTAGCCCCCTTACCACTCAAAAATTGCAAGAAGCAGAATGCCAGTGGATTCAGAATGTACAAGCGCTCACCTACGGTAAAGAAATCGCCAACCTGTAAACCAAGCATGACAACCGCCTACCACTTGTCCGCCAGCTACGCCTCTTCCTTGACGCAAGTGGTCTTCTTCGCTGTGGTGGGAGGATCCACAACGTACGCCCCCCTCAGCGAATTGACCAAATTCCCTTATCTCCTTCCTGCCAAACATGCCTTTACAGAATTGGTCATTCAAGACGCCCACCAAAACCAGTTATACGCAGGTGTAAATTCCACCGTTACAGCACTACGTCAGAAGTTCTGGATACCAACAGCCCGTCAGTCTGTGAAGAAAGTACTCCGTTGTTGTGTCAACTGCCGTAAGGTCGTGGGAACTTCATATTCCGCTCCCGATCCTGCACCGTTGCCGAAGTCGCGTCTACATGAAGTCGTGCCGTTCAAGGTAACCGGAGTTGATTTCACTGGCGCACTGTTTGTTAATGAGACTGATGGATCAGAGACAAAGGTATACATCTGTCTTTTCACCTGTGCGACATCAAGAGCAATACATCTGGAAATCGTCACCGACTTAACAGAAGAAACCTTCATCCAAGCATTCCGTCGCTTCGCTAGCCGGAAGTCACTTCCAAAGCGGATGATATCAGACAACGCGTCAACCTACCTCTCGGCAGCTGATGAACTCAAGCAGCTATTTCAATCGCCATCACTGAAGAAAGCGTTCAGCGACTGTGGAATCGAGTGGGAATTCATACCTAAGAGAGCACCTTGGTACGGAGGTTTTTAGGAACGGCTGATCGGTATGACGAAGACAGTCATCAAGAAAGTACTCGGTCGAGCACGAATCAGTCTTATCACCCTTCAAACGCTAGTCACAGAAATCGAAGCAGTACTCAACGATCGACCGCTTACCTATGTTTCCTCCGACGTGAACGACCCCGAACCTCTCACTCCAGCCCACCTCCTCTATGGGAGGCGAATGACATCATTACCCTATCCAGACGTAGACGACGACGAGTTCGAAGATCCAGATTTCATGGACGATTCTGAAGTCAGAAGAAGAGCAAAATCGCAAGCATTACGGTTGAAGCATTTTGAATCACGATGGAGAAAAGAATACCTAACCTCGCCCCGAGAATTTCACAAGAGTACAGGAAACAACGATCAATCAGTTCGAGTGGGAGACGTGGTTTTAATACATAGCGACAAACCGACACTCTTATGGAGAATGGCACACATCGAAAGCCTGATACGAGGAAAAGATGGTCTGGTACGTGCTGTAAATCTACGCACCAGCAAGGGAAAGACCAATCGACCAATTACAAAGCTCTACCCGCTAGAACTAGTCGACAGCGAGAAATCCTCGGACAGCCCAGTTGAACGAGAAGTTGGTAATCCCCAAGGAAATTGTATCCGAAATTCCAAAAAGACCGGTACGTGAGGCTGCGAAGAAAGCGTCGCAAAAGATCTCGGCTTGGACTGAGACACTTCGTGGCCCGCCGGAGAATGTCGTGAATTAGGAATATTGAGAGTATATTAGTATATTGTTCATTACATTAAGTATTCGTCAGTAGTGCCAGCGGTCGGACAGTGGACTCATATGAACGTTTTAGGCACGTTGTTGAAGTTAGTTTTTCACAAATGTATGTTTATCGAGCGGTTTACAATAATATTACTAAAGGTTGTCTTTCTCGACAAGTCTCTCAGCTTCTGAAAACATCGCGCGTGATCATGAATTTCCTATCTCATGTTTCTATGATCCATCTTTTATTTGAAGGCATAAAAATAGCAGCGAATATACAGGGTGTCCCACACCAATGACTCCCACTAGATATTGTATAATTTCTACATTACCTTTAATAGAAGTTTTGGGCTTTTATAATCGATTGAATAACGAACATATATCTTCTCACTCCGAAAGTATTGAATATTTTCCTTCTGGAAACATTTAAAAGGTGGCGATACCAATAGTCGGACTTGTCAAAATTATTGAAATGAGGTTAAAATATTCCAGTATATTTAGAAAGAATTTTAAAATTAAATTAGAGAAACTAGGCACACATCCAACCTTAAACTGTTTCAAATCATTACTATGTCGTTTCATTTAAAATAATTCGTGAAAATGATGCAGAGAGGCGGAAACTCAGACACACAGAGAGGACTTCCCTAAATTTGCCGTTTTCCGTAACGGATGGGGGAGGGAGATCTGATTCCTAAGGGGGAAACTGCTCCCCCACTTATATCGTTCAAAAACGCCCTCATAATGTGGGGTGTATCAAAAAATGGTAATCGAACTTTAACATGTTCGCATGCGGTAGATATCGAGTTTATTGGCACAGCAACAAAACTCCGACTTTTAGCTGTCTAATGATACATTTTTTGGTCATTATAAAGAAAGATGTCCCGATACAAATTGAATAAAAATTGCCGGTCGAAATGCGGTGCGAAACTATCGGAAAAATACCTCATAATTTGAGTTTAAAATTAATTCATGTCATGAAATGTATTATGCCTATCAATTTGAATGGCATAACTTGGGATAAAACTAAATAATGGTTGATAGATGTGGTCACTTGTTTGCCAAAACACATATTTAGTGATTAATGCACAAAGGTGCATGGAAAAATTGAAATGACAGGCAAAAGGTGTCATTCGAAGGCTAGAACCCTAATTTGTATTAATTTAATGTGGAGAAATTAAATCTGTGCACTTAATGTTGAGGGCTGAAAAGCGCGCTAAAATTGGACAACCTTAGTTTCTTTTATACACCTGGCTGCATGTATGTATGGCTATAATAAATTCAAACTTACGTCCAGCCCATGTTGCTTTCGCAAAGCCACCAAATATCAAATTCTTGTTATCCTTGACGACTTTAACAATTGTAAGGGTGGGTACATTCCCATTACATCTAGCAAGGAATGTCGTGCTTGCCCAACCGTCTCTTGTTGCTTGCCAACATACACTCCAGTTTCCTGCTAGTGGCAACCATTCTCCCAGTTTTGTTGTAAAATCCAGTGGCTCAGACCACAATATTTCTGATTCGAAAGACAAAGCTAAATGTATTGTTAAACACAAGAGTCTGTTATGAGTAATGAGATATACTAAGATGATAACATTGTGTTCTCCCCAGTTGGACTCAATAGCTTAATTGGTATAGGGTGTCAACCCGGTTCGCTGAATATGCAAATTCAAATCCCGCTTGAGTCAACTTTATGTTGACAAAGCAGTGTTGGGATTTTCTCAGGAATACATTGTATCATGCAAAAATAAGTTGGTTCACTACTCTTTCCTATTAAAATAAATATACATTCACCATAATTAGACTCCTCACTGGAAATCAACAAATCAGTCATGATTCTTTAGTAGAAATAATAATTAAGAGTAGAAGGCACTCGGAGATTATAACAGTACATATCTCTGCCAGTGAATTAAGTTATGTATCGTGCATAAATTATGCAATGGGTCAATAATGACGCATTCAGTTTGGCAAAGCAAGACAAACTTTTGATTTATCCAAAATTTCATCAAGGTCTCCTTGGACAATGTCCATTCGTTCCACAATTTTTTTTATTAATAAATTGTATTGTTCGTGAGTTATCAGGCTAACAGACAAACACACACATGCACACAAACATACACACGCGTGGATCAAAACATAGTCTTCTGGCGGAGGTACAGTAATAACCAATCACTAGATTATGTACATAGCTTTCAGGGACGTTGTAACTGAGTTTTTCGACGTTTTGTAAGCACATTCGTTTTGACGTCTCCTGCTTTTAGTGCCCTTTTTTTTAAATTAGTCTCCATGCACTTAGTTTGCGAAAAAAAAATTGCTCGCGAATTTCAAGTTGGGTTTTGAAATGGGCGCCAGCTGAGAGTGATTCAGTAACTTAGCTATGAGTCGAAAAGTCGTAAATTATTATTGCTTAATTTCCTCTTAATTAATTAAAATATGTGAAGAGAATAAAGTTAATATAAACATACGACTTTTTAATAGTTGTAGAAACGTTCAGTGATTGAGTGACTGACTGAAATTTAGAAATGTATAAGTTTTCAAAATTTTATACCTGCGCACTTTTTCCCGTCCCCAACGAACCCGCTTTTACATTTGCAGTGGTATGAGCCTTGAGTATTGATGCACCTTGCATTTGGATGACAACTGAAGTTTCCTTCAGAGCATTCATCAAGGTCTGAAATAATCAAAATATACAACTTAATAGTCTATCTCTAATTATTTATGTTAACATATCCTTTAGATACCTGTGCAGTTCTCTTTCCCATCGCTCACGTATCCGTTTTTACATTCACATTTGTACGAGCCTTGAGTATTTATACAAGTGGCATTTAAGTGACAAGTGAAGTTTTCTTCAGAGCATTCATCAATATCTGAAATAATCAAATTATGCCTCAAAATTTGTCAACCTTTGTCATTCTTATTAAAATAAGAGTTATTGATACGCAACTGTAATCAATGGCCAGTTTTGCAGGTTATTGCAGATGCAGATTAATACTGTAGTAAAGAATGAATTTTGAAATTTTCATGCTGTTAATAACTGACCAGCTGAAGAGAATCAAAAGATTATGTTTTATAAGAAGGCCATAAACTCAGTTAAGCGTTAAATTTAGTATAATTTGGAGCATATCAATACTTATATCTCATTTGTGTCTGTTTTCTTTGATCGTCCGAGGTTTATAACTAGCTAATATACCTTGAATAAATAATTACATCAAACTTTTCGACAAAACGCGAGAATTTTTCATCAAAAATTTTTGAAAATGACAAAATATGTTAGAAAACCTCCACAAATGAGATATAAGTTAGTTATAAATCTCGCAAGTCGGTTTATAACTGATATATTGCCCTCGGACGCTGCGCGTCCTCGGGGGCAATATATCAGTTATAAACCTCCTTCTCGGTTTATAACTCTAACTTAACTTGGAGTTAATTAACCTCTTTGTATTATATTAGTACTCTATGCACTATACAGGGTGTATAAAAAAACTGAACCCTTTCAAATTCAAATTAGCTATAACGTATTGTAGTAATTTGACAGCTCTAATTGTTTTGAGTTAATGGTCGGGTAAAAAAACAAGGTCTTGTACTCATGGAACAAAACTCAAAGAAATAAAAATTAGAAAATTTAAAAGTTTTTAAATATGGCTGTCAAATTACTACAATATGTTATAGCTAATTTGAATTTGAAATTAAGGTTCAGGGTTTTTTTATACACCCTGTAGTGCCATAATAGTTAGGGATAGGTATATCATGCGTACTAAAATGGTATTCTAAATCGTACCAATAAGATAGTCCATGTTTCGGCAGTTCGAAATGGAAATGAAAAGTTTAATATCATGACAAAGATAACTGGAGAAACGCATTTTTTAAAAAAAAATTATACAGATGTTTATAAAGAACGCTGTAAGGACTGAAATCTTTTGTTTTTCTAAAAATAACAAATATTGGAAAGAAAACAAAAGCTTTAATTTGAAAATAAATATTTTCAGGGTAGACGCTGACTCGTCCCCAGTCATCTCTGTATTTCAAGCGCGGGCGGAAGGAAAGGTAGCAAGGGCATGCAGGCGGTGAGCACACGCGATATTCCGGCGCCCGCGCTTTAAACAGAGTAACACACAGACAACTGGGGACTAGTCAGGTGTGGACGACTATCTTAACATTATTATTACCATTTTCACACATCTCTCCTTCGTATCCCTCTTTACATAGACAGTTGAAAGGTTTCTCTGGATCCCAGATCATTGTACCACCATTGCGACATTCATTCACTTCTCCTCTGCACGACGCCTGCAAAATAGTTCATTGCAGCATGATTTTAGAGACCGACAATAAATACCAGAAAAATGTTTAAATACCAGAAAAGTTTTGTTTCAATTTGTTGCCAATAGTGGATTCTTATTTAACCAAATTGTTACTTATTGTGCGCATTTTGCTCAAACAACGCACATATACTGTATTATAAAATAACATGTATATAACGCGTATTCTGATTGGTCGAAAGCCGTGTTTGGATCAGGCCATCCAAACACGGAAGACTACCGTGTTGTTGTTATTTTATAAAACAATTATTTTATGGTTTCCGTGTTTGGATGGACTGATCCAAACACTTGGGAATGTTGCTCGAGTTAAGAAAAGCGGGCAAAATCACTCGCCTTCGGCTCGTGTTTCGCTCGCTTTTTTTAACTCTCGCAACATTCCCGCGTGTTTGGATCTGGCCATCCAAACACGGAAACCATAAAGTAATTGTATAATCCAAAGCTTAAATATAGACGGTTTTATTTAAACTTGCGAAAAAATAGGACTTTGTATTCAAAACGTATGGCGAACTGAAAAAATAAGGTTACATAGACTTGCTAATCCCGGAGTTTACCTGATTTTTGATGAAAATATCTTATAATTTATTTTAAAATTTCAAATGAAGGGTTATTGAATATTTAGATCTATACGCATTTTATTCATAGACTATAGAATTGCCATTTTTGGGAAGTTTTCCTTCATACAAAGTTTTCAGAAACTCCAGGAATTAAAATATTTCAAAACAGTGTAAATCGATTCTGACATAATCATGCAGAAAGCTTTCTCTTTGTCCCAAATGTTTTTTAAAAGTATACATAATTGCTTACCACTTGACTTCGGTCTACATTATTTTTGATGAACATCCAAACTCGCTTTTTTTGGCTGGCATTATTGTCAAACTCATGTCGAGTCGTGTTTGTCAACTGACAGTTCAAGTCATTCCCTTCGTCTTTCTCCTTGTAGTTGAATGCGACACAAAAACGGTGTTCTGCGCATTGAAGGCCACAAAACTGATAAGTTGGTCCTCTGAATTGGGCGATGATGTTTGTTTTTAAACTGGCCACATCTAAAATCAGGCATTAAATAAGGATTTTTTACAAGGAAACATTTAACGTCCACGCCAAGGACAACAATCACTTGGAAGTGTGACAGACTAGCTTGAGCACAAATACTAGTCAACTAAGAAAAAGCTAAGCTTTATTGAATATTCGTTAAAGTTCAGTGCCTTTTAAAGGCAAACATTTGTTTCAAATAGGTGAAATGCGGGCCAATAACTTTTAATTTTTACCGTAACTTGAACAATAACTAGTTATGTCTTGAGCTAATGCATATATTAGGCCGTGAGATGAGGGTCGAAAATATGCTTAGAAAACAGATTCCGTAGCACCCCTCGTGTAACTACATAATTTTTACATGAATGGATAGATTAGAACTTACTTAGTTAGAATCCACTTACCCCCAAGCGAAATAGTTACACAAATTGAAGTAGAACATCTCCAAAGTACAGGCTTCTTCGAATTTTGAAATCCGTGAACCGCCATTGTTGTGTTGCAAATACGCATGCGCTTGACCGTAAAACACTTAATGCGCACGCGCAGATTAGAAAAACTGATCTCGGTCCAGGACTGGACAAGAAACAAATTATGAAATGTGCGAAAGCAGAGCTGAAATAAAACAAGATGACATCGAAGTGTTTTAAAAATATATGATATATTTATGGTCTGTATACTTCAATGGAGTTCGCCAAACATTCTGAGACCAGGAACACTTCCAAGTCAACATTGCAATAATGTTAACTTATTTTTAAAAAAATCTGAATAACGCGTTCGCAAGCAAATCTGTTTTTCAGGCTTTAAATATTATCACAATCCTAAACATTCAGGACTGTACACAGCGGGGAGACAGGGGGGGGGGCAATTGCCCCCTTGAGAAAACTATATTTACGATTTTTAGAATGTCATTAATTATTCTTCGGATATTTGGGACTTTTTTCGGCATATAGACCCAGTACTGCCCCTGGTGAAAAAATCCTTCGTACGACCCTGTAGACATTCTAGAACACGCATACCGTAATTTATCTTTTTTTTTGGGGGGGGAGGAGGGGGGGGGGTGTTTCTAATATATACAAAGAATCAGTTTGCACTGGTTTGATTCTCTTTAAATATATGCAACATCGGGTACTGTGATTTTCATTCCAATATCATAATTATCTTTCAAATACAATTCTTTCATGCTTCACGATTTTATACATTAATTGCTCACAGGTGAGGGCAGGCAGGGAGTGGGGAGGGAGTGGTGTTAAACAGAGAAATTACGATAACTAACAATCTTATTTATTTTCTAAATCTTTCCCCGTCACTGATTTTATTGAGTCAAAGTTAGTTGGTCCAAACCTGGAACTTCATCACGACTCTGTTTTTGTATCAGCCAATTTCATCCTCAAACTGCTTTTCGCCAATCCAATTTGTGCAATCGTCATTCTCAGTTTATAAAAAAAATATAAAGAAAAAGGAAACAGCCTAGTATGTTATAGGAGGTATTGTTATACAACAGTATTTCGTGACGTTTGCAATCTATTTATAATAACTTGCGCATACGACGCACGCGTATCAAGAAAAGGGAGTTTCCGTCTTATCTAATTAGCATTAACAGCCTTTCCGAAACACGCTGTCCAGTCTCGGTCAATTAAAGTTAAATATGTTATCCAACAGCATTAAGTCGAAAATCGGAACAAAACCAACAGATTACCCGACTCAGACTGAGTACTCTGAGTGGACTCCAAAAGTTGCCCACCATGATCATCACCATCATCATCATTAGTTCATTAGCTTTCCATCGCCTTCGATCATCAAACAATCAGGGTAAATATGTTATCTAACAAAATTAAGTCTCAAGTCGGAACAAAGGCCAACAGATGATTAACACGATGTGAGTAAATAGGATTCTCTCACTCTGAACTCGGAGAAGTTTTGTATCTTTATTCTTTCAGCTAGTTGAAAGAATATTTTTACTTGCACCGTGTGATTCCTACAACCTTGATCTACACTGGATCCTCCTTGTTCAAGTTATTACAACAAATGATTACCTTACACATGGCCAGACCGAGTATACTTTACTGTTTATGAGCTGACATCACTGCTCTTCGAAAATGTTAGCAACGATATGTCTTATAAAACTTCTCCGAGTTCAAGTTCAGAGAAACCTATTTACCCACATCGTGTTAATCATCTGTTGGCCTTTGTTCCGATTTGCGACTTCATGTTGTTAGATAACATAGTTTACCCTGAGTGTTTGAAGATTGAAGGCGATGGAAAACAGATGATGACGATGGACAACTTTTGGAGTCAGAACCGATGACGGTTTCGCTGAAAACGTTTTCAGAAGCATAGCCAGGTTGGGGGCCGAGAGGCCAGCCTGCGAAAATTTATTCTATAAAAAGAAGTGAAACATGGCCCCACCTAGGTTTTTGCCGCCGCCCCCCTCCCCTCTCCCTCTGACCAAAAATCGTGGATACGCTTCTGGAGATTTTGGAGTGCAGTGATGATTCGATACCTTTTGATAAAGATCAAATTACTCAGTCTGAGTCAGGTAATCTGTTGATTCTGTTCCGATTTGGGTCTTAGTACTGTGGATACCAAATTTAAATTTACTTGAGTAATGAACAGTGTGTTGCGGAAAAGTTGTCAATGCTAATTAGATAGGACGGAAACTCCCTTTCTCTTGGTATGCGCGCGTTGTATGCGCAAGTTATTATAATTATATATTTAGATTGTAAACGTCACGAAGTGCTGTTGTATAACAATATCTCCTATAACCTACTAAGCTGCTTCCTTCTTCTTTAATTGTTTTTTGTATAAGCTGAGAATGATGATTGCACAAATTGGATTGGCGAAAAGCCGTTTGAGGATGAAATTGATTGATACAAAAACAGAGTCGTAATGAAGTTCCAGTCAGCGTAACCAATTGGTAGGTTGGCACTCGAGGTTTGGACTAACCAACATTGACTCAATAAAATTGACGAGAAAAGATTTAGAAAATAAATAAGATTGTTAGTTATCGTAATTAGTTCTGTTTAGCACCACCCCTCTCCACCCCCGGCCCCCTCCTGTAAGCAATTAATTAAAGTATAAAATCGTGAAGCATGAAAGTATTTCTTCTTCTCCTTTCCCCCAGAGACGGATTTTCATATTTTCGTTCGGGGGGGGGGGGCGCTGCTTGCTTTGGCCGGGTCCTTGTGGCAACGCCCGGAAAGGCCGCCAAGGAAAAAGTTTAACAAAATTTTTTTTCTAGGCCTGCATGGCGAGATCTGAGACGATAATATTGGTAATTTTGCAAATTTAGTAGTAAGAATAATCAAATATGAAACTATCAAATCAAAATATATATAATTTGCGGGGTGCGCAAAAACTTTTGGGGGCGGTGCCAAATGCCTCTGGGGGGGGGGGAGGGTGCAAATAATTTCTGTCACTCCCCCGCACCCCCTAGAAAATCCGTGCCTGTCGCCCCCCCCCCACCCCAAAGAAAAGATAAATTACGGTATGCGTATTCTAGATTGTTTACAGGGCCGTACGCAGGATTTTTTCACCAGGGGGCAGTACTGGGTCTATATGCCGAAAAAAGTCCCAAATATCCGAAGAATAATTAATGACATTCTAAAAGTCGTAAATATAGTTTTCTCAAGGGGGAAATTGCACCCCCCCCCCTCCTGTCTCCCCTCTGTGCACGGTCCTGAATGTTTAGGATTGTGATAATATTTAAATCCTGAAAAGCAGATTTGCTTGCGAACGCGTTATTCAGATTTTTTTTAAAATAAGTTATTATTGTGATGTTGGCTTGGAAGTGTTCCTGACTCCTGGCCTCAGAATGTTTGGCGAACTCCATTCAAATGCACAGACCATAAATATATCATATATTTTTAAAACACTTCGATGTCATTTGTTTTATTTCAGCCCTGCTTTCGCACATTTCATAATTTTTTCTTGTCCAGTCCTGGATTGAGATAAGTTTTCTAATCTGCGCATGCGCATTAAGTGTTTTGTGGTTAAGCGCATGCGTATTTGCAACACAACAATGGCGGTTCACGGATTTCAAAATTCGAAGAAGCCGGTACTTTGGAGATGTTCTACTTCAATTTGTGCAACTATTTCGCTTGGGGGGAAGTGGATTCTAAATAAGTAAGTTCTAATCTATCCATTCATGTAAAAATTATGTAGTTACACGAGGGGTGCTACGGTATTGAACATTTTCGACCCTCATGCAACGGCCTTTATATTTCAGTGCGGTATCAGTAATATTTTATAATTTGGGCGGGGCACAGGCAGAAAAGCCGTTTTGGCACTTTGGGCCGTTTAGTCCAATGGTTGAGGCTATCTAACAAGTACGTAAATCATGCAGTCTAAATGATTCATAACAAAATTTTCAATTGACTGATGAAAATTCTTAAAAGCGCGTCCTGATTTAATTTTGTAGCATAATTTCTGCGGATATTGCCATGATCATGAAACCGCGCATATAGGTAGGTAGGTAGTTAGATAAACTTTATTTAAAACAACACGCTAGCCTAGTCAACTTTCGCTGATTTCCACGAGGGGCGTGTTCATTACATCAATATAAAAATATTTACAAAAATATTTACAAAAATCAACCTATTAGTATCAACCACTAAGCTGTACAATAACTACTGTAATTACTGTATAATAACTACTGTAGTCTACTGTAATTCTAATACTACGCGAACTGAATTTAAGAAGAGATTAGGCATGTATAGACCAACATAACATGCACTCTCTGTAAGTAAAAACAGCCCCGAATTAAACTTACTAAACTGAGACCTATTAAAGTGTATCTTGTTCTTTTGAAAACACTTAATTGTATAACGTAATCAATAAAACTGTCCTACAAACGATTTCTCTCATTTTAAAACCTTCAAAGGTGTTTTTCACTCGCGATACAACCTTACAATATAAAGACATTACAAAGAGAATAAAATCAGACTTACCCCGACGTATCACAGGAAACGGGTGATCGGGATTACTCTCATAGTCGACGTAAATGTTTTCCTCAGATGTGGCAAGACCAAGCAGCAGGAAGAAAATCAGAACATGTACTGTAAACATTATTGCACGAAAAATGTTCGATACTCTCAACGGCTCTGAAATTTAGAGAGGTACTTCACTAAAAGTGCAAATATTGTATAGCCGCGCCCTCACGCCTAACGCATGCGCAAAACATGGCTGCGTTTCTATTGGACGATTTATTGGAACGCATGTATATTCTGTGTTGATATAGAGCTAGGTTGAACAATAAACGTGATTGGCTGATTTGTGGTCACGTGGGTTTAGATAAATGTAATGTATTCCGCAAGGCGACAAGAGGAATGTTGTTACCTGCCCTGATCCGGATCGGCTACGTACATAGATGAATAAATTGGCGGCAAGACTCGCAAGCTAGTAAACTAAGATTTTCCAAGTTTTTGTAAAATAAAGTTTTACTGTAAAATAGAAGGAAAATACGCAAGATGCACAATGATTATAGTTACCGTTAGTTCTTAAATTAACTCCTGATTTTTTTATCATGAAATAAAATTGCGTTAGGAATGTTGTTCATTTTTCTTTGGTTGCTCAATAATTAACAAATCACGTACTGTCTGTTTTGTTCCCCCTAGGTCAAACATTTATACTCGTGGGAAAACAAAATTCACTATTTCCCTCGAAAGCAAAAATTAAGTGTATATTATCTCTATCAATTTTTCATGTGATAATATATTGTTTATACACCGTTGCGAAGCCGTAGGTATGACAACTGGTTATGCATGCTAATAAACCTCAATACATTTCTAAAGTTGGAATAATGCAAATCATTAAAAATCTTCATAGCATGATCAAACTCAAGATATAAACATCCAAAGGTTGGCAGCTTCCAGCGACATACGATGCTTGGGACTGAGCGAGAAATAGTTTTAAAATTTTATTTTTAAAATATACAAACTAAAACAGCAGGTTCAATTTCAACCCAGGGTTAGCGCTCATCTACCTTTGAATTGACCAGCCCGAGTTTAATAAAGTCAGTGAAAATCATTGATCCGAAAAGCTGCGTCTTTTCCGACCTGAGTTCGCGTTATCGATATATTTTTCATATTTGGCAAAAATGGTCCTCAAAATTGAACTCTTCAGATGTTTCAACATTCAGCGCGCGATTAAGGGCGTTTAGGGAAATGTTGTTTTTCCTATGTTGACTGGAATATGTTGCTGTAAATTCAAAACGCCGGAACTCGCGCCCTGAACTCGCGCCCTGAACTTCTACACATCGTGAAATTAGCGGTATTGCATAATTTGAGCATGTAGATAGTGAAAATTGAAGAGATCAACTCGGATCGGAGAATTATCGGAAAAAGTGGCCATGGATCACAAGTAAAACTCTAATGACAATGTGTGATTCCAGCTATAGTACAGACGAAATTTTGATCTCGACAAGAGCAACGAAATCCAACACCACATCTACAATGAGCATCTCAAAAAAAGTAAAATTGGAAAGATTGGTTTCGAAAATATAAATATTTTTACTGCGCGTAATACAAATATATACAAAATATGCGAACTTCAGAAGGCTATAATTATTTTCCTTATTATACAAGATTTCGTAACCAAAGTTATTTTAAGATGCTCTTTCTAGGTGTATAGTGTTGAATGGATTTCGTTCTTTTGGTGTAGATCAAAATTTCATCCATAGCTGGAATCACCCATTAAAGAACGAAGGGAAAAAACAAGTATAAAATTAACTTACCACGCCGTAGAACAGGGCTAATCTTCTCCTCTGGTATTCATGTGTCAATGTAAATATTGTTCGTGGATGCAGCAAGACCAAGTAACATGAAGGCTATCAGAACTTGTAGCGCAAACATCTTTCTTTGCGTCTTCTAGATCTGTTTTGGCCTGAATGCTAAACTGAGTTAGTTCACCAAGGTATAAATACTAAGTAGCCGAAACCCTCCCGCAGCGCAAGCAAACTGCATTTTGATTGCATAATTTAAAACAGCGCAAGGGGTCTGCTAAATTATGCAACAGTAAAACATTCAGTCCAGTTATGTGCCCAGTTTTCTTTATTTCTTAATTCCTCTTTTAGTCGTATTTTTTGTAACGTTATATCTAAGAGACTTAAGGCTTGCTTCTTGAATGAAAAAGTCATAATGCGTGCTAGTTGAATTGTGTGACAGTTTAAGCATTTACATAACTATAAATACTAATTGGTTAAGTGTATAAAGAGAACTGTCAGTCACGTCCCAAATAAATTATGTTTGCTTCCCGAGTCAAAACAGCTCACAGCGGCATTTTTGTTTCGAAAAGCAAGCATATGGCTGACAAGATAAATTGTTCTCGAAAGCTTTAAACTTATATTAACGAGTTTAAGATAAACGAGTTTGTTCGCGCCAAATCCGCGTCGTTAACTTGGCCATTTGTTTCAAACTATTGCTCATGTCATGAATACAACGAATATATATAAAGTTTGCTACGTGTTTCGTCCATTTTCACATATTTTTCGCGTCCAAGTATGTAGGGATGTACAACCCCAACAGTAAGAACATTCAACCAAGTGTGTTCCTAATTATATGCCCAGTTTTCTAGAAGCTTTTAATTCTTTACTTCTTAATCCCTCTTTTCGTATTTGTTTGTAACCTTCACATCTAAGAGACTTAAGGCTTGCTTCTTGAATGAAAAAGTCATATTGCGTGCTAGCAGTTTAAGCATTTGCATAACTATAAAAACTAGTTTGTTAAGTGCATTAAGACATCACGTCCCAAACGAATTGTGTTTGCTTCGCGAGTCAAACCAGCTCTCAGCGGCATATTTGTTTTGAAAGTCAAGCATATGGCTGATTAAACATTGTTCTCGAAAGATAATTTGTGCCGAATACATTTAGGCAAATTATGAAATAGATTACTTCGGGTACGTGTAGCTTATTTATGTGAGCTTTACTAGAGAAAATTAAACCCTTTAGGAAAATGATTTTTAGAGTGCATAGGTAATTATAATATTTGTTCAAAGTATCTCAAAGAAATACTGGGAATTACTTGTTTGTTTTTGTCTCTATATTTGCTCTTCAAGTGGCTTTGTTAAATTGCCATTATTTATCATGCGTTTATTCCTCTCGCTTTGCGATGCAGGAAACATGGAAACGAGGCCATTTGTGGCAAAAGTGGAGTGAACAGTCAAGCCTAGTTGAGTCCTTCCATGCAGTATTTTTTATGATTAGATTGTAAAAAAATTCAAAATGACCAATAAGATGCTTTGCCAATCTATCTTACGGGCAGTAGCGTAGCTAGCGGTCATGCTGGTCATGCTGAGCATGACTAAAAATTTCCCCAAAAATAATTAAATAAAGAATTTCTTTCTGCTAAAATTCAAATTCAAATCTTTTAGCTTTCCGAAACTTTCACAGGTACTTTAGACGAGATTTTCGCTATATTATGTCATTTTCGGCAAAATATTGCTCATTTGCATAGGTTACCTAGCAACAAACATGGCGAGTTCGTGTGAATTTCGTGTGTTTTCGTGGTCTGGTCATGCCCTCTGAAATCAGCATGACCAAGTAATATATTTTATAGTAGAAATACTGGCAATCTGATTGGATAATGGCAACTGCGCATGCTCAAACGCGCTGTTTCGCAACATCTAGTCATGCTCATTTTCCAGAGCATGACTTGAGCCTTTGAATCTTTGATACAGTCTTTCTGTTCGAGATAATTCACGCTCGAATACTCCGTTCAAGGTAAGTGATTTCACGTTGTATTAATTTGCATTATAATGGCTTCAGGAAGCGTGACGGCTTCCACAGAAGCAGATATTATAAGTGATTTGCTGAAGAAACCTTTCTCTACTCGTCAACCGGGCGAGCAAAATATAATTGTAACGCAACGGCCAATGCCGAATTTACAATCGACCACTGGGGATAGAAGCTTTCAGGTGAGTTGGTACACAAAGAAAGATTGGCTTTGTGGCAGTTTAACCAAGAAGGCAATGTTTTGCTGGCCATGTCTTTTATTTTGTCCTGGAACTTCATCATCGTGGACGAAGACTGGCTTCAGAAATATGAAGGGCTTTCTGTCAGATTGCAAAAAGCATGAGAGGGCAAGATTCCACATGGCTGCTTATAAGACCTGGAAAACCTATGGTTCTGGACCTCGTGTGGACTCTCTCATCTCACAAGCCAGACGTGACGAGATTCAGCGTCATAATGAGGAGGTAAGGCAAAATAGAGAAATGTTAAAAAATCTAACACAAGCTGTTCTATATTTGTCTAGGCAAGAGCTTGCATTTAGAGGTCATGATGAATCTAACGATAGCTTGAACAGAGGGAATTACAGGGAATTGCTTGAACGTTTTGCCAGAATGGATTCTGTTTTTGAAAGGCAGTTACATGGTAGGCTTGCCGAATCGAGCTTGAGAGGGGGTGGGCGGTTTACTGGAGTTTCCCCTGATATTCAAAATGATTTGATTAATTGTCTTGATATGATAATAGAGGATGATATTTTAAAGGAAATGGATAATTGCACTTTTTTGAGTATACAGGTTGATGAGGCGACTGATGTATCCACCAAAGAGCAGTTGAGTATGATCATTCGTCTGGATAAAGGGAGTGATATTATAGAAAGGCAACTTGGGTTTGTGGATGTTAGTTCTGACAGAACTGCAACTGCTTTATCTACAGTTATTAAAGGTAAGTTGATTCAGCATGAAAATATCATGGATAAGCTTATTGGACAAACTTATGATGGTGCCTCTGTAATGTCGGGTTATCTCAATGGTGTTCAAGCTCAAATACAACGGGAGTATCCTTTTGCCCATTTTGTTCATTGTGCAGCTCATAGGCTGAATCTTGTATTGTGTCAAGCTGCATCCTCTATTGCACCTGTGAAGATATTTTTTATTAACATAGGTGCTTTTTGTACTTTTACTAGCAATGCTCCAAGGAGGAAAGCATTTCTGTCTTCCCATAACCTTGAGTTTCCCAGTCCTGGTGATACACGATGGTACTATAGAGCTCGTGTCATCAATGTTTTGTATAATAATTATGACAAACTTATAGAACTATTTGAAAATATTGTTGACAATCCAACAGGGTGGGATGATGAAACACTGAATAAGATGACTGGTTTACTTGGTTACCTTAATGGATTTTTGTTTTGTTTTTTGGTGTTAATTTTTCAGAAGATTTTAGAGCAGTCATCTATACTTTATTCCATCTTCCAAGACAAAAAGACTGATTTTCAGTATGGGATGACCAGAGTTGAGAGATTCAAGACATTTGTTACTTCTCTGAGAACAGATGCCAAATATTCTGAGTTTTATGACAAAGCTGTTGAGAAAGTGGACCTTCCAGTGACCAAGTATGACCTAAAGCATAATTACAAACAAATTTTTTTTGAAATTCTTGATTCCATTGTAGGCATGCTGACAGAGCGTTTTCACGATGTGGAGCGTTTTAGGTTTTTAGATCTTGTGAACCCAAGGGTATTTAAGACTTGGAATGGTGATGTGCCCTCAGAAAAACTGGATCTTCTCAAGGAAATGTATGGTGATTTATTTGACATACCAATGCTAGTCAGCCAACTTTGTTTTATTTACAGGGATAAGGACTTTCATAAAGATTCTTGTGGAGAGTTATTAAAATATATTTTTCAGTTCCATCTGCAATCTAGCATTCCTGAAGTAGTAAAGTTGCTGAAGATGAATGGTGTTATATCTGTCACTAGTGCTTCTGTTGAAAGATCATTTTCCTGTTTGAAGAGGGTAAAAAGTTATTTGAGAAATACCATGAGTCAAGGCCGTCTTAGTTCTTTTTGCAGGATTTCCATACGCAAAGACATATTGTCAGAAAAAGAAGATGCAGGTACCTTGCATGAAGAGGTGGTAAAGAGGTTTGTTGAAAAACCAAGGAGACTTGCTTTCCTATATAAGTAATGGTATATATAATATAGTTTGGTACCTCATATTATCCCATTAAAGAGCAAGACTCTTCCCTTGACGAGTAAAACCATCCGGCTTTAGACGGAGTAAAAGAATAAAATTGGGTGGATGGCTGCTTAATGGGTTAATATACATGTTTGCCAGTATGATTTCAGTTTTGTCACCTTTAATTTACAGCTTAAAATTACTTACATATCAGGGAATATTAGATTTATAGGAGAAATATCCACATGAAGGTGGTTATTCCCAAATATAATTTCATATCTTTCTTTTACTATAAGTCATATTATTTAGTATAAATGACCAGAGTTATAGGGGAAATACCACTCAAATGTGGTGAGTCCATGATATAACTCTTCCTGGGGAGATGCCCACTTGAATGTGGTGACCCCAAATATAATTTCATATCTTTCTTTTACTATAAGTCATATTATTTAATATAAATGACTAGAGTTATAGGGGAAATATCCACTCAAATGTAGTGACTCATGATATAACTTTTCCTGGGTGAACATAATTTCCATGATTATTTTACTATTTCTATGACTATGTTAATTAGACTTATACAGAAAATTGCACCAGTCTTCACCTCACCACCGTCACCGGTGCAGAAAGTTTGTCTCGCATTTACATATTGGTCATTTAGTCTATGGCTTATTGTATGTTTTTATGTACTTCTTTTTCGTTGGCAATGATGATTGTCTTTCTAGTGCAGCATCATAACTTTTTTATTATGGTTTGCAGTTTGCACCCAATCTGAGCCTGCGAGTGAAGTTATAAAAAATTAAACTCGTTGGAGTTATTTGTAATGTAATTAGTAATGCTGTTTCATGCCGAAATAAAATAATTATTACACATGCATTGTTTTTATCGTGTTTTCCTGAACTGGTTTCTCTTTTTGTATGGAGTTTATTATGAATTTCCGTACGTTTTGCCGCCCAGAACGCAGGAAATTAAGTTCGAGTGACGTTAAAATAACCCAAATGTTTTGTATAAATATGAATAGATAAATGTCTGAAAAGGCCGTTTCCGACGATCTAGAGGCCCTAATTTTCAAAAATTTTCTCGCTCGGCGCCAACCATGGTGGCGCCTCGTGAAACTGGTAACCAGCAAAGGCCAAACTAGCATGACCAAACTTTTTTTCCTAGCTACGCTACTGCTTACGGGCTGTTTATATGGAAACTGGAGCGGAATGAATTCCTCTTGTGTAATTCATATGTGAAAATTTCATCCCGCTTGCCTGGAAAATTTTGCTACTTTGTCTTTGACATTTGTTTTGACAGCTGCTAAAACTACTCATGCTTATATAGTGAGGTCTATAGGATTAAGCGAAACCTCACCTCTTTCAAGCGAGATGTGGGCAACCATTAAAACCAGGCCATGAGCCCGTTTGTCCATATAAACGCACGGTAATTTTAACTGTAAAAATAACAACACAGCGAGATCGTCTTGCTAAGCGGGCCAGCCCGGCTTCTATATAAACAGCCCCTTAACTTGTTTCTTTCTTGCGATATATTTAACGACGTTTTATATAACAAGGGATTAGCCCAACTATGTATAGAACGAAATTGGTGTCTTAACAGGCACAATAATATTGACGTAAACCATTTAAATAACTACGAACTGCACTTAAATAAGCAGGGTACATCAGTCTTAGCAAAAAACATAAAGAAATTTCTTAATAGGAATTGACTAGGTAACGACAATAATAATGACATAAGACACAGCGATAATAATATAGTCGACAAAGATATTTCCGATAGTCCAGCACGCTGCACCTCGAAAAGCCCAAAAATTCCTTTCCAAATTAATAAGTCTTATCCAAAACGAAAGGGTTTTAAAATTGACCATTTAAACATTACTAGTTTGCCGAAACACATGGATGAGCTTAAATTATTCATGAAGGAAATATCATTCGACATTCTTTGCATAAACGAAACTAGATTAGACAATACAATAAACGACAATATTATTAAGATACCAGGTTATGATATTATAAGACCAGACCGAGATCGATATGGTGGCGGTGTAGCAATTTATATAAGAAGTATCATTAGTTATAAAAATAGGTACGCAGTGCGTACATGTTGCATGCCTTCTGAGACTTATGATGCGCTATAGCACTTATAACCTTTGGTACAACTGGCGTGAAACTTAAAATATTGATTCAACAAGTTTAGTAATATCAATATATTTATTGAAAAATAGATTTTATGTCAAAATAAGAAACTTAAGATTCTCACACGAATAGGCAATGTTTTTATGAGCGACCGTTCATCGTTAGTTGCAAGCGACGGAAATAACAAGGTCAAGGTCGGCTGTCGCCTCGTTGAATGGAACATTCCATCTTTCACCTCATGAAAATATTCTTACCATTGCACTCATAAACATTCATTATTTGTATAATGATTTAAATTGTCGAAGTAGAAAAAACATAAAGGTACTAGTCAGCTAATATGACCTGTATGATCGTTTGAGTGATTGAAATGAGTTAATTTACACTATATCGAATGTCATGCTGAATGTCATGTTGAATCTTATGCGTACTTCACAATGGTTGCTATTTCGTTGTATTAATGCACCTATCAATGTTAAGCCCCAGAGGGGGGGGGATATTTATTGTATATTTCATGTTATTTAGAAAATGTGCTATAGTTTTGAAGCTTTGCACAGTATATAATTAGTGCGAGCACAATGGCTCCGTTTCAGTATATAAAAAATGAGTGTTTTGATAGCGTGGGCTTTGAGGCTTTCACGATATATTAATATAAATAAACGCCTGATAATCAGTGCGAGCACAACGGCTCCAAAATCACAACAAATAACAAAATACAAGGTAAGTTAAAAACAGCAAAGCTTTACCTACCTCGACCTATTTTCTAAAGCGCTCAATTACGTAAATTTTCGGCAAATAATCAATATTTCTTTGCGTTTCCTCGACGAAAACTCAGCATGAAAATTCTCGTCGGAAAAAGTCGGTATTAGTCGTCTTTTACGAATCTGCCACGTGACTGGTACGCTCACCACCGCTCACCGCGCACGAAATTTAGAGCTATATGAAAGTTGCATGCCATATATGGCATGCTACAAAAACCATATCGAATTCATTCCAGACAACTTAGAATCTATTTGTCTCGAAATTCAAAAACCTAAGTCAAAACCACTCTTAATTGTTACATGGTATCGTCCACCAAATTCTAACACTAGCATATTAAACGACTTCGAAACGTTACTGCGAAAACTAGATGACACAAATATTGATATTATTATACTGGCGACCTAAATTGCGATATGATGGCAAACAGTCCCACTCATCATACAAAATGGTTATCCGATCTGATAAATGAGTTTCAGCTAGAGCAACACATTACATAGACTTGCCACAAGTCGACCATGGAGGAGGGAGGGCGCGGGGAAGGGAGCGCGCGACCCGAGCGACGAAGTCGCGAGTGGTCGACTTGTGCCCCTTGCAGGAATTTAAATAGCATTAAAAATTTTGGCGCGGATAATTATGACATAAAAGGGGTGTGTACATTTCATACAATTACTTCGCCGCGCCGTCAATTGGTCTACAAAAACACAAAAACATTCTCAAAAATTGATATTTCTTTGTCCTCGAATGAAACAGTTTGCATCGAGTGTGGAAACGACATAACTGACCCAAGTAAGCGCCGAAAGCTGTTCAATGTATCAACAAAAACGAGTGCATGTAAAAACTTATTGAATCTGGACAGTTGTTTGTCTAACAATGTGTGCCGTAATTGTGTCGACAAGAGTAGTAATTTATTAGACTTATTATAGAAAGTTGATTCAGTTCGCGAGCGATTTAATATTAGTAGTAGAAGTTAATCAAATTGAAAAGAATCAGACAACTGTAACCGAGAAGCAGAGAGGCGGCGATTGTGATCAACGAGAAGACGTCGCCAGAGTTCAAACTCCGGTAAAAATACGCGTTGTTTTCTCAACAAATGATTTTGTATTAATAATCAGTAATCGAGATCAAGAAACCCAAACTAAACCCGAAACTAGTGAGGAAATTTTAGAATCATTAGATGCATCTTTGGTACGTGACAGTATTAATAAAGTTTATTTCGACACCCTGTACTTTTAAATATACTCAATGTAATGATTGTTTGTGTATTTTCACATGGTTTTTGTGTTCTACAAAATTGTAATTACATTGTTTACTCTATTTGCTTCAATAGTACACATTTGTTCAACAAGAAAGCCTGACAATATAATATTGTAATACAATAATGTAAACCGCTTCGGCAAATCGGCAATGTAAACAATGACGTCACCGGTGGATTTTTCCACCGGTGATATTTGGCGCGCTGTAAGCACTGAGCTCTACTATATATATCTGGAGATCGTGCTCCCATATCTCGTCAAACAAAAAAGTGTCCGCAAAAACATGGCGGATTTCGAGCTCCGCGTCCACTATTTTCGGGCGATTTACCACTGACCACATAATATTTTTGAAAGCCACCTGTTTTCGCACCCCCCTGCATGCAAAAAGTATACACGGTGTAAATATTAAACTATCAAGTTTCACAACTTTATATTTTGTCAACATTCCGCGTTAATATTGCTCGGTTTATGGTTGTCACAACTCCTTTGACAAAGACGGACTGTATTCACACTGGTAAGGAAATATTACTTTCTGCTTAGATATCATTCGAGAAGTTTTTTCTGCAAATGACAATGTGAAGCAAACGGTAGTTTATGTTTTAGCCAAATATAAAAAGCAAAATATTCACAATATTAAAAATATTAAAAATATTAAATATTAAAAATATTCACATATTAAAAATATATTTAATATTTTTAATTTTTATATTAAAAATATTCACAATAGCCTTCTCGACTATGGCTTCTTTTCAGAGGTTTTTGCATGCAGTTTGTTTCATTCAAATATTATATTTCCATTGTTCCTTGTGATGTTCTCGTGTTCGTTTTTCCTACCTACTGTACAGTGTATTTTATAGGCCTG